CCCTTCCTGTCTCAGGATTTCATATGTTCAGTTGCTGAAATGCTCCATTTGTTATGTGTTTTTTCTTTCCATTGAGCCAAAATTTGCCTCTGGCCATGTTGCTTAAGTTTGCCTTCTAGAACAAAGATGAGCAAAGCATTTTTCTGCTCTCAGTGGCAATCCTTTAAATACTTGAAAGCAGTTCATCTGACTTCTTTTAGTCCTCCATTTCCCTAGAAGGTCAACCTCAGTGCTATCAGTAGGCGAGAGCTCCTTTACATGGTCTGTCATTTCATTGTAGCACTTAATGATGTGTACTTTACACAACGCACCAAATGTGGTTTGGCAGAACAATTTTGCAGACCTTATAGAGGCTTGTTTGGGTTTTTTTCCCTTTATTTTCATTAGGCTAACTGACAGATAATTGTGTCATTAGAAACATGTTAACGTGTGCTGACATACTAATAAGTTTTGAATGATGTTACATGGAGATTTACATCATATCTGCAAATTAAATATATTCTACATTGTTCACCTTACGCAAAGAGTTGTTAGAAATTGTTTTAAAATAAGTAAGAAATTTAGATCACGTTTGGTTTAGCTTTTTTTGATTATTCACATAGAATTTCTAATGTCTTATATAATAAAAAAAACTAACAATTAGTAATCTATACATTTTCCCTTATTCGGTACCTGCCTTCTTGTCTTCTTTTATTACTGATATCCTAAATTAGGGGATTTTCTAAGGATGGACACTATTATAAACACTATCAAAGTGAAATTCTCAGGACAAAATTTAAAATCATGCCATACAGATCCAAAGTTCGATTCCTGTGGGGCCTCTTACTAAATATTGCTATTAAGGTTATCAGTAAATATACAAAGGATTCTTCTGAATGGATGTGTTGTTTATGCCACGAAATTAAATAAATTCTTCTGACTTTTCTTAAAAACAAAATAATTTTATTATTGGTTTTCAGAGTCAGAAATGGAATCGTTCAACTATTTTATGTTGTAAAATTTTTTAAGATGTTAAACTGTGGTAGTGCTTAAAATAGTTCTTTTTTTTAAAACACTGACCAAAAATAAAACTTGGTGATTGTCATATTGCTACTAATCTTATGCTTTCAGATGAATGCACTTATATTCTTACTGGCAAGGTGAAATCTTACATGAAATATAGGTGGCTCGGTATGTACTAGAGTGGTTTATGTTAAATTACCACTTGATTCTGTTCTGTTGGTCCTTTAATTCTGTTGTACCAGTGCCATCCAAGCAAAGAAGCATTCAGATTTAATGTATCCATTTTTGTTTGTGATACCTTTATTTAAAATATGTAAAGATGTATTTATAGTGTTACTGATGCATATGCATATAGAGTTAGGAATAAAGATGAATAATATGCTTTTGTTATGTTGGATTTGGATTCTCTTTATGTAAATATTTAAAACTTCATGCGTAGTATTTCTGGACCAGTATCTTCTCATCAGTATTGGAGAATTCAGTTTTTATAAGATAAGTCTCATTATAGATTAACCTGTCAACAAAATATAATATAGAGAAGCCATGCTTTTACAAGATAATTTACATTTTAAAGTAATTTAATTCAGTTATAAAACTTTAAAGAAAGATGTGTATCTTTAGGATGGGATATAGTTGAAAAGTACAGTATGGATGTCAAAGACACAAAGTTGTAGTGTAAAGTGCATAAGTAAGTATTCTGTTGTGGCTTTCAAAGCCTAAGGCAGATGTGACGAGACGGAGAGAGAGAGCAGTGCACTGAGTGTATCTAGAGGATTCCCTTTCTGATCCCAGTTCTGCCACTGTTAGCAGAGTGGTGTTAGATGAGGCTTAACCTCTCTTGGCTGCAGTTTCCTCATCTTGAAAGACAGGAATTGAATTTCAGTTATCTTTCAAATGTTGTCATTTACAGAAGGAGCTGTAATAAGCCTACAAACAGTTTCCATCTGTTGCTATACTAGTTTGGCTCTTTATTTCAAAACTGATTTTGAAACTTTCAAAGAAATTTCCTCTGCATTTTGAAATATTGTTGGTCTTTTGCTGAGAAGCAAATCAGTTTTTTAAAGTACAAAAACAGTATCTCTGAACCAGTGGTTAAATTATAACAGATTGGAATCTCTTGAAATGATCTAGCCCAGTGACTTCAGTGGTTTTTACTTTGTGATGATTTAACTTTCCTGTAAACAAAATCAGCAAAAGCAGGTTTTTTTGATCTGATTAAAATATGAGTTAAAATATGATTAAAAATGAGTTTTTTTAAAAAATAATTTTGCTAGGATTGTTTTAAAATGTTTGATTGCATATGACTGCAACAATCTAGGAGAAAACCTGATATTGATGGTGGTATGTTTTCCCCTTCACATTTTCTTGATACAGAATAATGGTTGGATTTAACCTTTCTCTTTCTTCATAGTTATACAACTTCTGAATATGAGCTTTAGAAATGACAGTATTGATCCGTATTATTTACAAATAATAAAAGGCATTTGTATAGGTACAATGGGGGAGAAGTAACCTTTGTACATAAGACATAAGAGAAAAAACACAATTATGAAAAGCTCAAACTGTGTTTTTTTCCTCTGTATATAAGCTAAAGATTTTATTTATAATCTTACTGAAATTTTTTAAAGTTAAATATCATTCCTTAGAAGCAAGTATGTCCTAACATACACACACAAATATGTAATATTGAAATATATTTATGGAAATAGTCATGCCTTACCCTCAAGATTTTACTCTCTTTGGTTGGTGTGGTAATTTTAACTTAAAAATAAATGTGTATTTGAAATTTACAAATTGAGAAAATGCTTATTAAAGACTTTATTAGCATGTGATAAGGGGGTTTCTGATTTTCTGACTAACATTTCAGTATTTTTAATTATGATAAACCATGTAACACAGACTCATGAATTTTGGGGCAGTGGAATTATTTCCTTTGACTCTTTTTTCTGCATATCATCAATTTGCTTTTTACTCATGTTTCTTCTACTGTCGCTGTAAGCTTACTTGTTGTTTTTTCTTTCCTTTTCTTCATGCTGTCGTTTAGAGCCCTACAGAGAGACAAGTATGGGAGTAAAGCTAAACATTGCATATCAAATGTAATTTTTTTTAGTTCACTTTTATTGCATCACATATAGATGATGTAGTTATTAAAAACAGTTCATCTCACAATTTCAAAACTAAAGAACCTATGAATTGACTTATACAAATATATGTTAATAGAGATTAGACGCTTTTGTTGTCTGATTCTTTTATTGTGTCACATAACATAGTTATTAAGTCTCATGTAATGTTTGTGTGAGTTAAATTGTTTTTAAATTAAGCATTTATTTTTGCTAAGTAATTCATAAACTTTTAATTTTCATTACTACATTCCATCGTACAAATATGTGTCACATGCAACATACCCACTTTATTTTACTATGGCTGTTTTCAACCCGTACCTAATGCATTGACAACAGAAATAATAAACACGTTTCAATGCATCAGTCGCTCAACCATAATCATCAAGCATACCATGGCAGCCTCTGCAGCAGCAATCACCCATCACATATGGCCCTTTAAAAAGCATTTACTTTTATTTTTTCTTAACATTGTGGATTTGTCTACAGAATACCTATAACATGAAAATAAATCGCTTCACCCTATGTCTGTGATGGCTGCTTTTTAATGTACTTAATGCATTGCTGTTTTTGAAAACTGTGTTACTTGACTATAGAGTGTGCATCAGATGTCCATATAAAAATTGATATATTTGGGACGCTTTATTTAAACCAGCAACGAACTAGTTCAGTCTTGGTAAACATAACTGCATCACAGATATAGAATGAATGCTGTATTTTCACAATTTAGCCGTCTATTGAGAAGTTTAATAGAATTCTTCAATTAATGTTCCGTAAAGAAATACCCTTACTTATTTAGCAGTATTGGTTAAATGTTTGTGTTTTATTTTCTTTTGTGGTTGCATTTGAAGTGATTTATGGAACTATTATAGAATCTTGGATTTCTGTTCATTCAAGAAAATGCAAAAATCTTGAAAAAGCATGTGGTCAAATTATTTCACTGCAGCTGTTTTATCCCAGAATAAGATGTTTAATCTCTTTTAAACCCAAAGTTTAATATGCACACAAAGTCATCACTCATTATGAAATGGAACCTTTGATACTGACACTATGCTTTTAGGAATCACATCACCCAAATGTCTTTACACATTCTTTTGTAGAATTACCTAAAGACCCTAAGTAATAGTGGATTAATACATAATAGTAACTGAAGTGCTTATAACAGAAAAAAATTGGAAAGTAAATCCAAATATTTATGTTTTGAAAGCTCCTATGTGCAAATTATTTTGATGTGCCATTTATTTAACCAGACATTATTTTATGACTACATCATTCTGACAATAAATTTAACATAATCATTTAGTGGTTTTGTGTGTAGGGATTATTTTCAGTCTTACAAAATTAAATTTCAAATTATTAGAAACTGCTTGATTCTTTTACTATGATAAATATACTCAAAGTACCACACATGAATTATGTTAATATTATACCTATTTCAACGTTAAGACAATATGTAAAATTAAAGGTAATGAATTATTGAATTGACTTTGATGTGTATAAATTGAAAGCTATGAATGACTACAGCAAAATTTTGCATTATTTTTCTCTAAGTTATAACCAAATATGTTCAAATACTGTCAGGCAGTGTTTGTGTGGAAATTGCAAATTCATAGGGTGTTTTTTTTAATCCTCTTAAAGATTAACTTTAAATCCTTCTTTTCAGTTTATAAGATTTCAATCAATTGTCCAAGTATATATATGTAGGTACATATGTACATATAGGTTTAATAGTATTTTTTATTTCCAAACATTTTATACTTAATTAAAATTGCTAGCAATTTATACATACTTCATAGTCAGATGGTTTTGCTTTTGTGTGCGTGTGTGTTCTCTGGCCAATTGGATGTAAATATCATAGTGTTTTGTAATCTTTTTCAGAGGGGCTTCTGAACAATGCCAGGGATACAAGTGTCATGGATACTCTACCACTGAATGGTAACCATGGCAATAGTTACAGCATTGCCAGTGGCGAATACCTGAGCAACTGTGTGCAAATCATAGACCGTGGCTATAACCATAATGAGACCACCCTAGAGAAAAAGATTCTGAAGGAACTGACTTCCAACTACATCCCGTCTTACCTGAACAACCACGAGCGCTCCAGCGAACAGAACAGGAATCTGATGAACAAGCTGGTGAACAACCTGGGCAGTGGGAGTGAAGATGATGCCATTGTCCTGGATGACGCCACCTCCTTTAACCACGAGGAGAGTCTGGGCCTGGAACTTATTCATGAGGAATCGGATGCTCCTTTGCTGCCCCCGAGAGTTTACTCCACAGAGAACCACCAGCCACACCTTTACACCAGAAGGCGGATCCCCCAAGACCACAGTGAGAGCTTTTTCCCTTTGCTAACCAACGAGCACACAGAAGATCTCCAGTCACCCCACAGGGACTCTCTCTACACCAGCATGCCGGCCCTGGCTGGTGTGCCGGCCACAGAGAGCGTTACTACCAGCACCCAGACCGAACCCCCACCGGCCAAATGTGGTGATGCCGAAGATGTTTACTACAAAAGCATGCCAAACCTAGGCTCCAGAAACCACGTCCATCAGCTGCACACCTACTACCAACTAGGTCGCGGTAGCAGTGATGGATTTATAGTTCCTCCAAACAAAGATGGGACCCCTCCAGAGGGAAGTTCAAAAGGACCTGCTCATTTGGTCACTAGCCTATAGAAGATGACAGAAATTTAAGCCAACAAAACTGCTAACACCTGGTTGACTGTTCTGAGTTGACATAAGCAGTGGTAATAATGTGTGTACTCCTAAATCTTTATGCTGTTCTTCAACGACAAACACAAACTCTCAGACTTCTTTCTTTTCTTTTTTTTTTTAAACTGGGATTTTTAGGTCAGCCCAGGGGAGAAAGATAACTGCTGAAATCCCCCTGTGCTCTCTCCTTTCCTGTCCCTTTCCCCCTCAGATGGAGACTTCATTATGTTAATGAACAAGATATGAAGAAAATGGCGCTCATTGTGGCCTTGTTGAGTTATGTTGTTTGTTCTAACATCTCTGATGCTCTGTTACTATCATTACAAGGACCTGATTTTTAAAAGGCCAGGACAGTTGTTTGAAATTAGTAACAATGCTGCATCTAGATTGGAGTGCTGCACAAACATAAAAGCAAAGCAAACTGTATCAATAGTGGTTTTTAGTCACTCACAACCTGAATTCACCACAGCAAGAATAGTTGTGGTGTACAAAAGAAAACAAAATCAGTAATGAAATGGAGGGGAATTCTAGAATTATATGCTAAATGCATATTTTATGATTTGCTGTATTAACTGATGATAAAACTAATGGCAGAAAAAAAATTGAACAATTTCTATGTAATGTACAGATACTAGCATTGCACATGTAGTCTGCTTTCTGTTCCTCCAGAATTTGAGTCCTGTTAACGTAGTGGGAAAAAAAAGAAATTTTCTTTTTCTTTCGTGCTGGTCTTGCAAGTTTGTCTGCCAGTAAGAGAGCAAGGTTACCTTCCTTTCTTCTTTCTTTTCTTTCTTTCTTCATTTTCCTTTCTTCTTTTTTCCTTTCTTTTCTTTTCTTTTCTTTTTTTCTTTCTTTGTTTTTTTTTTTGGCCTTTTTCTTTAAAATTTCACCTGGCAAAAAATAAATAAATAAATGAAGCTATCACTTTATAAGAATCATTTTCTAGTAATGCAAACAAATTATTTTTTACAAAAAATATAAAATAAATAAAATTAGACTTCCTTCCCTCACTATATATCTTTATTCAGTCAGAATATTTCCAAGAGCATTTTTGCAAATTAGAGCAGGAAGAACTTTTATGTTTACAGTGCACATCTGTTGTAATGCAAAGCATATTTGGCAAGCAGTTCATCACTAAGACAGTAGCTATGATTCTAGAAGTCAAGAGGTGTCAATAGAACTAGTGGGGCTTCTGCATGTGAAAAGTGGGTATCCCATAGGCGTGAAAGTGCGGAATGTTCAGTCTGATCCCCACGTGGGTGCCTGCACTACCAATTTTTAAAGGAAATTCACTCCCTTGTAGAAAGAATTGAAAGGTCAAGTTATTTTGAAGTGATTTTTTTTTTTAAAAACTCTTCTGTTTATTAACGGCAAAATTTATTTATTTGACAGGATTTTAAGTAATGTAGGAATACAAGAGGTAAATTAGCAGCACATATACTTTTTTTTTAAACTTACGATCCATTTTGTATGGTCTCAAAGTTGGATGACCTCATTACTAATATTTGTTGTAAAAGTGAAACTTGTTTGCCAACCAATAAACAACTGATTGAGATTTAGAGGATATTGTATTGATGTATGTACTATATGATTAATTATTCCTTTTCATTTTTCTCGCCTTTCTTTCCTTCTGTTTTCAATATATAAGCTTTGCTAATCCTCTGTGGCCCAAATGAGCCATGCAAAAGAAATCAATCTGCCTAGATGAATAGACTAAGCACAAAATTATACAGTTTTTGCGGACAAAATAATCCAGAAAAAATGGGATGGGCATGTTTATGTTGGCTGAAATAAGATGCATAACTTACTTTCAAGCAGATTAATGTATAGGTTACTATGTGCTTATTTATAAACCAGCTGCAGTCACACTGCTTATTATGAAAGTCAGCTTCAGTCATAGAAAAATTTGAGTATTGAATTGGGGAAGGGTGGATCATATGTTTTTCCTCCCTTATAAGCTTCACTTTGTTGTTGGAAATTTAAATTCACTCAATTGGCTAAAAGCTGCAAGAATCATGGCAAAGAGAATATTCATTTTATACAGATAGTATAAGACACTTCTATGATTATTTTTTTGTTGTTCTATATATGAATAAAATGGGAGGGGAAAAGTCCTTTCAAAGAAACTTTCTGGATCTCCAGTTACTGAAGAATCTTTACCAGCAGTGTCCAAGCATGGAGACTCTCGTGGGGCAAAGTTAGAATGAATTTGCCAAATCATAATTTCTCTTATATTATGTGGTATCTTGGCAGTTTCTTTTTCTTTATTTTTTCTAAAAATCCAAACACCATCCATCTATAAATTAATTTCTTAAATTAAGATGAGAAGGAGTAGTTTAGAGAATAACCAGTAATCTACGTAGACAGTTTTAAAATATTTGACAAAAGAAAAACTTCCAAGCAGGGCCAGAGTACATCATAACCTTAATATCACCGCAAAATATCTTATGTATCATTCCTTTTTAGTCACTTGACATAAGTATTTTTTAATTTAATTTGGGTTTTTTTTTTTTAAGTTACAGGAGAACCACAAGCTTTAATAGTAATAGGTTTTCTCATACTACATATGGCAATATTAGCGCTGAAAGGTGGGTTAGCCTGTCTGTTACATAGAAGACATTTGGTAATGAAAGAATCTTTTTTTAGACAAGTTTAAGGTAACTTCAGAAACACAAACGTAGTCTGTGGATTATAAATACTTATGCTTGTTTTGCCAATCCAACAGTAATCTATATGGAAGCAGCTCCATCAATAAGAAGTTAGTTTCACAGAACAATGGGGAAACTACCTCAGTTCAGCTTGCTGATGCTGCCGATTCTGATTTTCTGATACTGCTACCTCCCTGCCCATTATCTTTTATGTTTCATTATATGGAAAGTTGAAGCAGATAGCCTCCCCAGCTCTCCATAGTCCACGCTGAAGAAAATCACCTGAATGCATAAACTGGTGCAGAAAGCCATTCAGTCCTGTCAATTACTACTACGCTCTTACATCAGGATGAAAGGGTGAGATTTTTTTTAACTCTCACGCATCATAATTGGTGTGCTTTCAGAGAGACTTATGATCCTAAAGATTTTCACAGGAAGAGATTGTTCCCCCAAGTTCAGTGTGACTATAATGAAAACAGAACAGTGGACAAAGAAGTTAATTAGGTATACATTTCAACAGAAATCTGTGCATACCTAACATGTATTGATGTCCTTTTTACACTAGCAAGGGTTGATTTCCTGAACTTGAATCTTTTTCACATGCGTTTTCATGTGCAGCAATTGATAAATTAATAATTTAAAAATGTTCTTGTTTTTACCATCCTTGATTGACTATATTTTCAGTACCCTGGGACATTGATGACCTACTTATTTGCATATTTCTGATGTGTTTATCTGATTTTCTGTTACGAAGTAAACTTTCATCAAATATACTATTCATATATAGCATGTTATTTGAATAGAAAAGTTATGCCAATGAAACAAACAAGTTGTTATTTCCAAGTAAAATAATATTTTCATAACATTTTACACTTGAAACCTTTTTTCCTCTTTGAGGTCTATTTCACATGATACTTTATAAGGACACTAGCTAACAGACCTCATGTTTAGTTGATTCAGAAACTGCTGGATTGTTGCACAGCCCATGTTTCTAATTGATAGTATTTATGGAGAAAGCTAAATTTTGTGAAGGAGAAATAGGCTAGAATTTCAATTAATTTTTTTCAGCAGCCCTTTTTGTTTCTACTCTATTAAAATTAAAAATACTATAGTTGAATAATAAATTGCCATGCTAAAATAATCATAATGACAAAAAAGAACTGACATGAGAACAATTATCTTGAAATAAAAATAGTTTGGAAAATGTAGTAATCAAATGCAGATAATGGAAACCCCTTAACTTCCTGTAATACAAATTCACAATGGCTCTTAAATTAAAATGTAGTTTTAAAAATCCCCATTAATCTAAAAATGTTGATGTAGTGATGAAAAGTCTTTAAGATTTTATTTTTTAATTTTTCAATATTAACTTGGTATGACAAATTTTCATAATAATGGAGATAAGCATACAGTGAATTAGTAATATTTATGAAGGATCCGTAGACTTAAATTTAGGCACTATCTTCAGCTTTTTCCCCACATGTGTTCAAACCCATTGACTAGTTTGCTTACTTAAAAAAAAAAAACATTAAAAACTTCAAAGTCTAATTTTCTGCTTTATTACTGAAACCAAAAGGGAGAGGGAAATATTCTTCTGGGTTGTCTAAAGATCAACTTCAAACTAATCAATTATTGCCTCCTATTAGTGAAAGAATAATTCACTTTTAGAAGCTGTCCATCAGTATGGTACCAAAGTACCACTGCTGCGGGGCATTTTTCAAAAAACCAAAAACTACTCTGCAGTCAATTCAAATAGAGAAATTTCAACAGAGAGGAAAGAAAGAACCCAAGCCCTAATTTGATTTTGAGCAATTCTGAAAATACTGTCAAGAATGTCTTTTCTTCTCTAACAAAAATATTTGAGATAAAATAACAATATATATTTCCTTCCCAGTATATCATAGTATCAAGCTCTTAAGAATTAATTAGTTCATGTTTAGTAATTCATAAATTATAACTCACCACATAAATAATTATTATGCATTTTAAGTAATACTTTAAATATATCTTATGTTATATTTCTGCACATCAATACATCAGGAACATGGAAGCACAAGAGTGAAGCAGCAATGTTGCAAAATAGCTTATGGAAACATTCTTATGCTAATGGGTTCTATATGAGATGCTTCTTTGAGCTTATAAAATAGATTTGATGGATCCCAACTGTAAATTCAATTCTGTAATCAGCAAGTAGGTCCTTTAACCGTCTGAAAAATATTGCTAAATATCTAAATTTTCATGTCTAGACTAGAAGCTAAAGTGTTGGTAGCTGCTTCTTTCCTGCTTAGGCCGTAAGAGGAATATTTCCTATTTACTAGTTAACCTGACTACTTCCTCTCTGCTTTAAAAGGGAAATCAGTCTTCAGCTTTCACCTGTGCACAGACTCACATACCCCATTCTTTTCATTTACAGCTTACAGAGCAAAAATAGCTTGTTCACAATATTGCGAACTTTGCGATTTTTCCAATGAAACTGGTAGTTATTATGATTTTGTGTATTCTCATTTGAAATAAAGTTACTGTTATTCCCTCTTTTCAAAAAAATTAAGTTAACCTTCTTTAACATCTAACACCTTTAAGTTCTTATTCAAATGTCTTGATTTCAGCTAGTTTGATATTTCTTTTTCTCTCTAAACAGTATGTCATGCAAGTTTTTCTTAGTTTGTGTCCCATCAGAAAACTTTAAAGGTAAATAGAAACTATGATGTTTAAGAAGGCAAGTGAAAGGAGAACTTTTATATGAAGAAGTCAAGAAAGGCAATACAAGAAAAAAACCTCTAATGGGATAAAGCAGTTTCCCATCACGATATGAACAGAAGAACAGAACCACGTTGGCAAATTGATGGTGAGGTAGCTGGCCCTCAATTAGAGATACAGAGATAAATTACCCAGGAAAAATAATGAAATTACTTAGAGTGATAAAAACCTTACATATTGTACCAAATGCTATTGATGTGTTGAAAAAAATGAAATTGAAGTTTATCATATTATAATTTTAACCTGCGGTTTCCACAGGAAATACTAAACACTTCTAACATTCTTTATGTATTTCTTGTCTAGCTACACCTTGTCTCAAGGAAACATGACTATTTTATAAATGTTTCTTATATAAGTATTTTTGCCTCAATTCACTTTCACGCTCTAATCTGCTTACTCTATTGTACGCCAACACAGTTAATGCTACGAGTAGATTTGTACCTTTTAGGGCTTTATTATGACTCTAATAAACAAGAAATTAATATTAAATTGGAATTATGTACATTGTACAAAATAATTCATAACCAAGCAATATTCATATTATAGGATAATTCATTATATATATGAATATTACTTTGAGACTGAACAAATAATTACACTGCTGAAAGTATTACTCTCAAGTTCTTCTCTCTCTTCAATTACTGTAGTCAATTCATAAAATTCTGCAGACAGTTGTACACATGACGTGTTATCAAGGTACTCCATAATCCAAATGTGTCTACAAGTTTTCCCAATGCTTCTTTCATTCTAGAGTGCTAAAGGAAAGACCTTGAAAAGAAGAGGAAAGTAAAGCTGACTTCTAAGGATCTAACTTAGGTAAACATTGTCATTCAGTATGAATAATTTTGAAATGAGAAGGTCCCAACTCTGTGCTCTGAGGGAGAGGTTATTAAAGATTTACGGTTAGTCCAACATTTGAAGATTTTAAATTTTAAAGGAGTTAAGTTTGTCTCAATGGCCCAAGACTGCAGGATTTCACAATACACTGGCGAGGAAATATGTTCAAAATCCATACCCAAAGTAGCTTTCTAAAAGTGAAAATTTTCTCAGATTCTTCTGTAGGTGAAACTGGCAAAACAGTCCTGGCTTCAAAAGTGAAATGTATTGGTTGACCTCAAAAAATGTTTGGCAAAATTCATGAATGTCAATTGACTCTTTAATAGTAGGTAGGGTCTTTGGGGATGGAACTCAGGATATAGTGAGCAGGACAGTGTCCTCTCATGGTGACCACTGCCTTGTCCTCTAGAGCATTGTTTAATGCCTTGGATTTCAACTTGTCAGTGTCTTATTTTCTGAATGACATTATGAATCAAGAGAGATGAGGGGAAAACATTCAAAGTTGGTTTTCATGCCTCATTTGAAAAAGATTTTCTTTACCATCCTACATAATAAAAGGTGATCTGTCTTGAAACAGCCATGGACAATCAGAATGTATTCATTTATAAACAAGCCTTCTTTGTATGTTCTAACACTGTTCTTTGCCTATGAACGACAAAGTCAGGAACTGTAGAGTCAGCTTGATTTCCCTTAATGGCCTCTGTGAATGTGTTGGAAAGTGGAAACATAATTTGGAAAAGGTTTTCATCCTGTTTTCCTACTTGCCAAGCATTAAATCTAATTCAAAATACATCTTTTTAAAAAATGACAGTTTATTTTAAAAACCAACAACTAATTAAGCTATTTCTCATTGATAAGGAAAGTCACTTTTTAGGAACAAGAATATAGCTATCGCAGGCTTTGGGTTCTTACATTCTCATATATTTACACAAGGCATTGGTCTTATCATATACCCACAAAAATTAATCTATTGGATTTTTTTCCCTTGTACAACCTTTCCAACCTTTTTTCCCCCTTAAATGCTCTGTACAATCACATGTAAAGTTATGAGCTACAAACCTCAATAAAAAATATGAGTAAACAATAAGTGATGTAGTCCCTCTTATTATATGGTAGTACCCAAACTTTGGTTTGGAGACAGTGTTTCAAATGGCAGGAAAATAATTGAAACATAGACACCTAATATATTTTCTTACTATCCCCATACCCTACATCCTCCTCTTCCCACGTTGGAAATAAAATGTGAGGCATTCTTCTTTGTATTTTCAGAGAACTGCTGCCACCCCAGGTATCTATAAGTCTACTTTTTCTTTCTAGGAAGAGAGGAAGTTAAATTAAGAACTTACTGTTTGCTTTTAAAGTTTGCCAGTGATGTGATATAATGTAGTCTTAAATCTGCTGCCTGATCAACTTATTTCTCCTCATCTCAAACTGGGAGTAGGAGAGTCAGTCACCAGTGGTCTAAAGGAGAGTTTGGGCTCTGCGCTGTGATGTGCATTCTTCTTTTGAATAAAGGGCCCAACAAATATTTGTTTATGTTGTAGATCACAAGGATAGGCATTATATAATCGTCATTTGGTACTTTCAGGGATTCTGATTATTTAGTTTACTAACTCTTAGCATCAGTAAAATAAGTACAAATATCAGCTGGAGAAATCTAACTTAGATGTCTCTACTCTATAATATTGAAAATACATTTTCATAAGATCTGTTCTGAAAAGGAAATGGAGAGAAATCCCTAGCTCCTGAGTACCTCGTTTGTGTCTGACGCTTTGCATTGCCTCATTGAATCTTTTCAGTCCTATGGTGAGATGTATTTTTTCATATTTGCTTTATGAAGGAAATTGAAGTTCAGATCTCATAGTCACAGAGCCAGTGAGTTCTGAACCAAAATCTCTCAGTCTAAAGTCCATTTTATTCTTTTTTAACCATGTTGCACTGCATCAACTAAATGATTAGTTGAAAAGAAGTTAACCCATCCCCTCTCATTTAAATAAAGGGAGTTAAAAAAACATGAAGCCTGCTTTTAAGGAGCTCAAAAGTGAATTCCATTTTTCCAGACAATTGAGAGAAAGAGAGAGAGAGAAGTGTCACTGATTCTATACCTTTGAACAAATTACTTGTCTAACAATAGGGCTTCTCATCTCTAAAGTAAATACAATACCTAATTTGCATGTGATACATAAGGTGCTATTTTGTGTGATACACACAAAATCCTCAAGAAAATTCTTAAACTGATTTTTAGTTAATACTAAATAGACTCCGTGTGTGTTGTTTTTCAGCAGGTCTCATTTAATGAAAAAAATGTTTTTGAGTTTAAATATATTTGGGAGATAAGCTAAACAAAGTAAAATAGCTTTTTTATTATAAGAATTCAGAGAATGCCCTGAAAAGTCTAAGAGAAGTATACATTGGGCTGTTTCCTAAATTTATTTGGCCCTGAAATCAAGAAATCTGAAGAGCAATAATTTAAAACTATTAATCCATGGAACTCAGTTTGGAAAGCACTGCCCAAAATATTTTTGTTACAACTGAGTTCCCCTGCCCGGCCCCCAAGTATTTTACGTCAATGAAATGCTGGAGGTGTGACTCCTTCAATATTAATTGAGTTCATAATTCATGATAAAATGTTATAAAAGTATCTTTACTAAATGTCTAGTCCCAATCTTTAGGTGGAGAAAGAGTAATTAATGAGATGATGCCATTTCTGCCCTAATCATAGAATCCCTTTGTTTTAGTATAGCTTGCTGTCTTCTAATACCAAATAGCCATTTGGTTACAGCAACTGGAGACAAAGAGTTTTCACTCAACAATTATGTTTCTCACTTATAAAGTGCAACGTGTTACAGGAGGCCCTTGTTAAAATGCAAGTTTTGATTTGTTTAGTCTTGGGGTGTGTCTGAGAGTCTGCATTTCAGACAAGCTCTCAAGGCTGCCTGTGTGGCTGTGCCCCTAGTACCAAGGCCCTTAGACTGTCTGCCTCTTCTTCAGAAACACGCTGTGCCTTGCTATGAGGATTTTTCCCCCTCAGTGGTTCTTTTCAGATACTAGGGAATATATTATAGGAAAGAAGAAACAGATTTTTTAGATTGTGTTCAATTTTACCGAGAGAGAGATTTGTTCATATTTTTGGATAGATATACAGAGTGGATTCTCAAAATTGGTAATAAATGCAGCAGTACTGAAGCTGAAGCCATTACTGTTCTACTACACAATTTTAGGCTAAAAATGACACAGGAATGGGGGATACTCTGTGTGTCTGTGTGTAATTGCATATATATGTAAAACAAGACACATACCCGTTGTTTATTATGAAAGATCTTAGTAGCCCCTTGTCTTGTACTTTATACATCTTAAAGCTAATAATTTCTCATGCTCTTAGAAAGTCTTTACCATTCTACTGTAACTGATGAAAATGGAATTTCATTAATTTTGTTACTGCAGAAAACACACTAAGAAGAAATAGATTTAAATTGAAAAAAGAATACCAACTTTCTTTTTAAGCATGGTCTTTTGTTTTTAATTTTCATTCTGAAGTGTAACATGCCATTTTTCTAAAATCTGAAATTTTAAAATTAACTGTTTTATAATTGTAAACTATGTATACATAAATTGCCTAAAAGGTTAAAAATAATAACTAATGATATTTGGTTTTGAATATGCAAACTGGAATACATTCAAGATGAGGAGTCAAGACTAATTCAAATCCATATCAAACATAATAATTGTGTTACATTTTATTTACTTAGTTTGAAGATGATTAAACTTATCTTGCTATTTTCATGTGTTCTTGTGAGGATCAGTATAATAGTTAGCTTAGTATTTCTCAGCCCTGGCCTCAATTAAAATCACCTAGGATGTATTTAAACAAATAAATAAATAAAAAGCCCATCCCTACCCCACTATATAGCAGTTACATCGGAATCTCTGGGTGATGTCCAGGTATAAGT